CCCAGGGCCCAAGCACGAGCCTCACAGAGTAAACTTGTCTCTGCCTGAAACATCTACTTCCTCTTCTGTGAAATATGGCTGAGGTATAAATGTAAATATGAGTGTAGAAAGTTCATTTCTCCCCTAGGTTTCAAGGTGATTATGTGGATTCTTCGTTCTGTGGATTGAAGTAGCAAGGATTATTATTATTTGTCTCCAAAAGGAGTCCAACATGAGTTATTCCTTTGAGGCAGTGATTGTGAAAGCTGGGTTGTCTTTTTGACCATTAACGCAGTAGGATCCAGGCATGGCTAATCACTGGGTACAGTTGGTGCATTGTTCTCGGGAGAGGGCTTCTTATAATTTGAAAATTTTCTCTTGTTCCTCTGTTTAAAACTATATCAAATTATTCTACTCTGGTGCTACTTAACAAGCCGATTATAATGATATGCATAAAACAAAACAAACATGAAAATAGAGGGGAGGAAAGAATTTATTTTTCATAGTTGTCAGAATTAAAAAGAGACGAAGACCTTCAGGTTTTCATACACACCTTATCTGATTGCACTCTGGACAACTCTGGGAGATGATTTAATAGAAAATGATGCAATGCAAGTCCAACATGTCCAACTCTGTGTTGTGGCTTCATAAAATGTTCAGACCTGAGTAGGACATGTAGTAAGCATCGAATAAAGGCTATCTCTTATTATTAATAGCATAATAACTTCTTGATGTTAGTTAACTGAAGGTCAAAAGGCTATAATAAATAGCTCCAGCCTATCCCACTTTGTGGTTGGGTGGGTTCAACGTTCTTTGTTTTCATTCCACAGATGTCTTGATTAGGTATGAATCTTAGCACCTGGCTACTGGAGCTATTGATTATGACAATTAAACTACTTTGACTAAGAGTTCAGTGTCACTGTCAGTGCACAGGCAGAGGCTAGTGTCCCATGTAGGGGGACAGTAGAGGATTCAGGCCTAATGTGGAGGTGGGCCTGGCGTCCTCAGGACACCTGGTCATCAGGCCTTCTTTCTGCTTACAGGAAGCCTGATCTCTATGCACATCTACGCCCTCCACAGGAACAGTGCTGTGTGGCCTGACCCAGAGGTACTGCATCTCTGGGTGTGGAGGGCAGACAGGGTGTGGGCTGTGGTGTTACCTCTGCCAGGGTTTGGTGAGTATTTAAGAAAGCCCTTTCTCTTAGGTCTTTGACCCATTGCGCTTTTCTCCTGAGAATGTGACAGGACGCCACCCGTTTGCCTTCATGCCGTTCTCTGCGGGGCCCAGGTAGGGAGAAGGACAACATTCTCAGGTCCTCAATGAAGGCCATCACTGGGGAGGCATCATGACGGAGTACTCTGTGACAGTGGGGGTCTTTTGCAATTTTTTTCTATTCCTGGGAAATGGGTGGGGTAGGTGTTCCCTTCTGTGAGAGACAGCAAGTCAGAACTTGCAGTGGTGTAATACCCAGGAGGGCCCTTTACCATGCTCCCAAGTTTTGTCTTTGAAGCTAAGATCAACAAATCAATCATTCCTTATGCATCCATAAAAAGGGTTGTTTTTTTTTTTTTGTGGGCCTATAAAATCACTGGGTAGCCAACGGCTTGATGCCTCTTTGTACTGCTTGCTGCAGGAACTGCATTGGGCAGCAGTTTGCCATGAACGAGATGAAGGTGGTCACAGCCCTTTGTTTGCTGCGCTTTGAATTCTCCCTGGATCCCTCAAAGATGCCCATCAAGATTCCCCAGCTGGTCCTGCGCTCCAAAAATGGCATCCACCTCTACCTGAAGTCATTGGGCTCTAGGAAATAGGTCTTCAGTGATCATGGCTTAGACAGCACAGGCTGTGGCTTTTCCTGGGACTTTGCCCTCCTAGATTGAATGTGGAGTTGTCATGGGTCATTGCTTTGGGGGGCTTATAAATGTGAAAGCATTGGCACTGACAGTGTCATGGAAGACAGTCCCTTGTGAACACATGTGTTTAATGACTCAATATCTGGACTCTGAGCTCATTCCTCCACTCCACAAACATTAGTTGAACATCTGGCTGTGTTGAGAAAAATCATTTATTTCTCATAGCTGTATATCTTCTGAAACTAACAAATGAAAACCAGAACTCTACATTTCAGCCCTTGAAAAACATCATTGAAGACAATGAAAATGTTGCCTTGAGATTTGTGAAGGAGGGATGGCTTGAGTGGCCCTTCATTGATGTGCATTTCTTTCACTGTCTTTGTGTGTATCTGGAATATAATGGACATAAAGAAAACTTGTTTAAACTAAACCTGTAAAAAATAAAGAATAATTCTTAAAGTAAACTCCCACCACTAAAGTAAAAGAATATGAAAGGTATCTTTTCTGAAGTTATTTCTCTCTTGGGACATGTCTCTGTGGCACTCTTGTCATTCTTGACAGTGATGTCTCATAGTCATACAGTGCTCTGGGCATTCACAGTATTTCTAGGGAAGGTAGTGCAGTAGAATTAAAGGCAGACTTCCTGGGAGAAAGGAAACTCTTTTTCATAAGGCATGGATGCTCAAAGAAGGACTTTTGGGGTGGAGTTCAGGGTGGAGCCCACAAGATGACTTAGAAGTATTTCCCTGGTAGTCCATGCAACAGCTGTTTCATGGCTATGGGTACCTATTTCTCTAGGGCTCAAGGTCTAAAGTCACTAGGAATTGCAAATCCAGGAAAACCCCATAGGGAAGGAAGGGCACTAGAAACTATGAGCAGAGGCAGGAGTTAGGAATTTTATCTCTGGGACTTAGTGAAGTCTCTAGAGCAGCAGACTCCAGGGTAGAGGGGTGGGGTGTTGAAAGACACTTCACATTGGTCACCTAAGATCATCAAAAAAAAACCACAGGTGTTTGTATTATGATTCATAACAGTAGCAAAATTACAGATATGAAGTAGCAATGAAAATACTTTTCTGGTTGGGGTCACCACAACATAAGGAACTGTATTAAAGGGTCCCAGCATAAAGAATGTTGAGAACAACTGCTCTATGATATCCTGGGTTATGTGGCATATACTTTTTTTTTTAACCACAGATTATTTCCTACTTGGAAGAAGGATACATCTTGGTGTATCTACCCCAGGATACTTGCTAACTCCTAGAAAGCAAGTTAAGACCCACATCTCCTTGTAAACTTGAAGTTGGGATACAAAGCTCTGGGTGGCACCAGAATCTAAAGTATATCATTCTAGATCTTTGGAACCTTGGCCATTGTGAGGTATGGACAGCATGGAGACAGACCTCTGACAGAAGGAAACTGTGACTGCATTTTAATATAAAGGAAGGATACCGAGAGACACTAATGTAGGAGGAACTTAAGCGGAGGCTTCCTGACTCTGATGTCTTTTGTTCAAAACTCCATCATTAATATGAGTTCTTCTTGAGTATATGTATCAGTAGGAATAAAGCCAAGAAGTCTGAATCTGATGTTTGTGTGTGATCTCCTGAACACTAGAGTATTTGTTTATGTACATGTGTGTATTGTGACCTCCTGGGTGAGGGAGAGTGGATACTGGAAGTGGTAGCCTTCACAGATGACCTCTGCTTCATCTTTAGGGCATTTCACACACCCAAAGGCTCCATTGATCTTGGGCATGCACATGTATATGTGTGAATGGAAGGTGCTGTGGGCATGTATAAAGTGGTTGCATGGGCATCACTTTGTGTGCATCACAGAGGGGAATGCACATGACAGTGAACCGAGCCATTCTTGCTCATTGCTTCCAGGCTGTAGAATCACTTTCTGGTTACACATTTCATCCCCTTTGGAATCCTGTGTTTAGAGTACTTGTCCTTGGCTGGGAACCCAGAGTTCTGTGCTCTCACTTTCCTGTGTACCTCAACATGGCCATCAAGAGACTTTCTGTATTGCTTGAACATTTTGTGCTTGAGGGCTTGGGCTCTCCCCTTGATCAGGCACCAAGTGTGTCCAGTCTGTCCTCTCTTGCCCTTCCTCAGAACTGGCCTGCAGTAACCCAACAAACTGGTAGGTTAGGAGACTAGGAAGTAGGTCCTGGTTGCAGACAGTGGCTTCAAGAGAAGCCTGTTCGAGGAAGCAGACATGGCATTACCAGGGAAGTCTGTCCATGGGCACCATGGATCCTGGCCAAGGAGCAGTTTGAAGCAATGTAGGAACATGACAAACACAGTGTGCAACACTTGCAATTTTATTGTTGAGATCAGGGAAGATGGAGAAACTTGTGTGAACGACAGTCATATGGAGACTGTGCAGGAGAGATGTAGACAAACAGACCGGGTAACAGTCAGGTAAAGACAATGCCAGGCTTCACAATGGCTTCACAAAGATGTTCAAGCCCTAAGTCTTAGAACCCATGAATGTTTCCTCATAATTAAAAAGTGCATAGTAGGTGTGAATGAATAAGAGATATTGATCTGGCAGAATTATATTGGATTTTTTTTTGTGGGTTGATGATGCCCCAAGAGTCTTTGCAAAAGGTAAGACAATTAGAAGAGAGGAGTTTGGAGAATGCAGGCCTTAAAGCAGATGTGGCTGTCTAGTGCCAAGAAATGATGGTTTATTCTGAGAAGGGGAGGAGGAGGCCAATCTAGAGAAGCCTGCAGAAAAAGATTGGCCACACCAACAACTTGGCACCCATTTCAGACTTCTGACATCCAGAGCTGTAAGATAGTAACCTGTCATTTTGGACAACCAAAGTTGTGGCAGTTGATTGTTGGTGTAAAGAAGTCATGTAGGGAAAATACGATGACAGAAAGATAAGAGGCAATGAGAGGAGGCTGGAGGACAGAGGAGATTAGGGATCAGATGTGGGTAGTAGGAGACAGAAAGACAAATAGGAAATCAAGAGGAAGGAAGGAAGGAAGGAGGGAGGGAGAGTTATATGGACAGACTGAAGGACAGAAGGCAGGGGAGCAAACAGGGTGAAGAAAGATGAGCAGATAGAGAGGAAGATGGTGAAAGGTACTGATGGAATGAACAGAATGTCAGGCAGCATGCTCATGGGTTCTGTCCTTGTCCCTACCAGAATCAGTGGATCTTCTCGAGATGCAAGTAGATCCCATTCTTGGATTTAAACACAAGTCGTGGTAAGGGGATGGGGACCCTGGTTGGATCGGGCAGCAGCTCAAAGCGCAGTAGGGTCAGAGCCACAGCCACTTTCAGCTCATTCATAGCAAACTGTTTCCCAATGCAGTTCCTGGGTCAGAAAGGGACAATAACTCTCAATGACCTCTGACCTGAGCAGGGAAGGGCACTGAAATAGCCCAGAACCTCATTCAGGGCCTACCTTCACAGGTACAGTCTAACCTCGTTCATTAGACGCCATACCTACTTCTACCCGAGGCCTTGGCTCTCCTGACTTTTGATTCAGCCTCTACAGTTTTCAAGGCTACTTTGACCCTAGTTCTTTTGGAGTTATTTAATCTGTCATGCCAGTATTCTAAGGATTAGAGGTCAAACTTACGAATTATTTAAGAAGTTAATCATTGCTTAGTTTACTCCATCTAGGGAGGTCTAGGACATGGGTTCCAAAGAGTGGAGTCATTTTCAGGAGGGGAGTTCCTAAAGGGGACTGTGTAGAGTATCCTCAATTGCTGTCCCATCTGCCTCCTACTTAGGGTGTCTCTACCTCTTTTATCAACAACTGTGGCCTTCTAACTGTACTTGAGAAATGTCCCTTGTTCCTCCTCCATTTTCTGTCCTGGACTTCCCTGGTCTCCCTGACTCTCCCTCCCTCCGTCACGTGGGGATGCCTAGCTGCAGCCCCACCCTCTACTGGCTGCTGCCCCCACCAGTTTCCTGCCCATCTCACTTCCTACTTCAGATCAACTTGTTGATGTGTTTGAGAATGTCTCCCCCATCAGGATGCACATTACCACTGCTCAGGCCGATGAGCATCTGGCTCTCATGTCTTTGCTGACTATCCCTGTCCCAAGGCACCATCCCCACAGTCAGGGCATGGGATGAAGTCAGGAACATGGAACATTTTGCAAAGTGAAAAATGAGTGAGGGGAAGAATGGAGGAAGAATATATTTTGACACAGATATATTTGTTTTTGTGGAATACACTTTTGAATTAGAGGCTGGGATAAGAGAGTATCATTAATTCCCATGTTTTCATCTAGCATAGCATCTGACACACAGGAGTGCCTTGAAAATGTGTTTTAAATTTAAAATAATCAGTTTTGGTTGGCTTTAAAGTGCAATTCAGTCAAATTTAATGAATAAAAACGGAATGAAATACAATGAAAATTAAGAAGAAACTTCTGACAAAAGCAAAGTGGTGCACTGATCCTGAATCTAGAACTTGGGAAGTTGAGGTAGAGGGATCATGAGCTCCAGGCAAGCCTGAGACTGCCTCAGAAATCGCCAGCAGCAGCATGGTTCATTCCAACTTTAGCTGAGTTTCCAAACACTCCACTGTCATCTAGTCAGTGACCTGATTTGCAGTGAGCGGAGGTGAGAGCATTCAATCGTGAAGTTCACCAAATGCTAGTCAGCCTGTGTCTGGAAGAACAACTGACTTAAAGCCTGGTCTGTGAAAGCTGATTTGCCACTTGAGGAATTCATGAAGTACGGGTTCAGGAAAACCCACTTCTGCACTGCCTTTAAAATTTAACAGTGAGTCAGGTCTTAGGGGATCCCTTTAGAATTTTCCTAGAAGCCATTGGAGAGCCTTCATCTGTTTCAGTAGCTATTTGAAGAGTGTTTTATATTTCACTCACCAGGAACCTTAGTAAATACTATGTGCTCTGCATAAAACAGAGAGTTTACTCAAATGCTATTCTCCTCCTCTCTAATGATTTTTGTCTGAAGTTGGATTATACAGTCTCTAAGAGTAACTTCAAAGAATATATATTTATCTTTCAAGGTTTGAAACCGGGAAATTACAAGGGGGACATGATCATCACACTGATTCTTTGATTGTTCAGGGAGAGACTTCACAGGGGGAGTTCATGCATTGCAGTAAATATTTCCTTAAAAGACCCACAGTAACACTTCAAGTATCTGACTGGACAGTTGTCCATGGCAGACACCCAAGCAAACTTATCACATGCTACAGTGATTCTACAATTAGAGAACTATCCGGAAAGAGTGGTGAGCCATGCTGAATTGGGGATAAACGTATGCCACTTAAGAGTCCTGAAATTTGAAAAGCTGAACATCTCAAGTTAAATTCACAGGAATAAAATCAACTTAACATCTTGCCCCTAAAGTGAGGGAAATATTAGAACACATGCAAGTGTGTGGCATCCACCGACATAGAAATTTGGCTGGCCCATCTCGGAAATCAGTATGGAGGGTCTTCAGGAAAATGGGAATCAATCTACCACAAGATCCAGCAATTCCACTCTTAGGCATCAAGGACATTGTTCAACCATGTTCCTAGAAGCATTATTTGTAATAGCCAGAAACTGGAAGCAACCTAGATGCCCCTCAACTGAAGAATGAGTGGAGAAAACGTGGTACATTTACACAATGGAGTACTGTAGGGGACAATGTAAGCCATGCCTGCTAGAAGCTGGCTACAGGTGTGCCTGACCATGCCCATCAGGGCGTGGTCAAGGTGATGTCAGAGTGATGCTGGATAGGGTTTAAAGTGACAGACAAGGCACATGGGAGCCCTTGTCTCTGGCCTCCCTGCCTTGCTGCCCCTGGCACACTCTGGCTTGTGTTTGGCTGGCATTTATCTAATAAAGGATATCGTAACCTCACCGATTAGATAGCTACCTTATTAGAGTAGAGGAGGGGAATAGAATCTTGGAGAGGGGGGCTAGAATCTTGAAATTCGCAGGCAGATGGATGGAACTAGAAGAAACCATTCTGAGTGAGGTTACCTAGTCGCAAAAAAATAAAAATGGTATGTACTCACTCATATGTGGATTTTAGATCTAGAGCAAAGAAGTAGCAGCCTACAATTCACAATGCCAGAGAAGCTAGGAAACATGAAAGACCCCAAGAGAGACATACATGGTCCCTTGGAGAAGAGGAAAGGGATAAGATCACCTAAGATAATGGGGAGCATGGAGGGAGGGGAGAGGGAGTTAGAAGAAAGAGAAGGGGAGAAGAGGAGGGGAGAGGAGGACATGAGGGAACAGGAAGATCTGGTCAGGGGAAGAATAGAGGAGAGCAAGAAAAGAGATACCATCATAGAGGGAGCCATTATAGGTTTGAAGAGAATTCTGGCACTAGGGAAATGTCCAGAGGCCTACAATGTTGACCCCAACTAGCAATCTAAGCAATAGTCGAGAGGCTACCTTAAATGCCCTTTTCTGACAATGATATTGATGACTACCTTATATGCCTTCCTAGTGCCTGCATCCAGTAGCTGATGGAAGCAGATGCAGACACCGGCAGCTAAATACTGAGCTGAACTCGGGGATCCAGTTGCAGAGAGGGAGGAGTGATGAGCAAAGGGGTCAGGACCAGACTGGAGAAACCCACAGGACAGCTGACCTGAACAATGGGGAGCTCATGGACCCCAGACTGATAGCTGGGAAACCAGCATAGGACTGCTCCAGACCTCCCCCCACCCAGGAGGATGTCAGTTTGGAGGTCTAGGCAATCTATGGAGCCTCTGGTAGTGGATCAGTATTTATCCCTAGTATATGAATGGACTTTGGGAGTTCATTCCACATAGAGGGATACTCTCTCAGTCTAGACACACGGGGGAGGGTCTGGGCCCTGCTCCAAATGATATGACAGACTTTGAAGATCCCCCATGGAAGGCTCACCTTCCCTGAGGAGCAGAAAGGGGGTGGGATTGAGGGTGGGGGGCAGGGGAGAAGGAGAGGGGAGGGGGAGGGAACTGGGATTGATATGTAAAAGAAGCTTGTTTCTAATAATAATAAAACATCTATTTTCTTTTCTTTTTTTTTTTTCAAGACAGGGTTTCCCTGTGTAGCTTTGGAGCCTATCCTGGCACTCGCTCTGGAGACCAGGCTGGCCTCGAACTCACAGAGATCCGCCTGCCTCTGCCTCCCGAGTGCTGGGATTAAAAGCGTGCACCACCAACACCCGGCAAAATCATCAATTTCCAAAAAGAAAAAAAAATTGACTGGCCAATGGGAAGTGCCATGGATTAATGTCTTCATAGTGCCTTCTGAAATGCTACCTTCCCTATGTGCACAGACATAGCTCCTAGAAGCGTTCCCCCATATCCACCAATAAGATATACCTGGAAATGTCATGTATGCTTAAAATCATCGAGGCATGCTGCAAAGAGTCTCCACAGTGCAATCTGCCAACACACACACAACATCTCACCTTGCTCCTCCTGAGAAGGGCAGGAATGAGTGGCTGTGCCGGGGAGAATCTGATGCAAACCTGGAAGGGTCAAACACCTGCAGGGAGACAGCATCTCAGTCAGGACAGGGAGAGGTTGAACCCCTACTTTCAACCCACCAGGGACAAGATGCCTATAGGTGGGGACAGCAGGAGTATTGGTCTGGAGGGTGCTTGCCTGCCTGACTGTGGGGCCTCCTACCTCTGGGTTTGGCCACACCTTGGGGTTGTGGTGGAGTGCATAAATGGAGAGTGTGACTGAGACACCTGTGGGACAGACAGGGGTAGGAAAAAAGATGGGTTATACTCAGGATGTGAATCCTTGGTTCCTGAGACAGTAGGGGACATACTAGCACAAAAGGTCTGGCTTCTACAGATCATCAGTTTGGGTAGATGTGGGTGACTTGGAAATGGACTGGAGGCACAAACCAGGATTATAAAAGTGTAGTTAAAGAAAGAGAACAAGAAAGATATGAACCTTTTTGGGAGTGAATCAACTCAGAACTTAAATTTGATGAAGGATTTTGACTAAAGCTGTACAATAATTCAGTCCCCACAATGATCCTCCAATTGTTTTAGTCTGTTTTTCAGGTGACTGAAAAAGGTTAATGATGTTTCAGAGAGGGGTTATATATCATCACCAAACTAGTATTGGAAGAAATAGAATTTTGACAAAAAATGAGGCGTGGGACAAAGGATGACTTCCTGACATTGCAGGGGTCTAGTGTGCTCATCAGTTCATCTCTGCTATCAACCTGATGCTTCTCAGAGACTAGACCATATATGACCCATGAGATGGGATTGATGGTCTCTTTCGTTTGCTTTGACCAAGAAAGAAATCCATTTCCTAGTCTCTGGCTGACTCTCCATCTATTCTTTACCCACCCCAGCAAATAGATAATGTCATAATACCACATTCAAAGATTTTTTTGTCAAGAATTTTCTAAGGATTGAGTCAAGTACATATTGTGTGTGTGTAAGTTCTGTACATTTATAAATGTAAAACTATCAGTGAAACAAGCTTGAAGAAAACCTTATTCAAAATTTGGGTTAGGAATTAGGGCTTCTAGTTGGCCACCAGGTCATTTTCTCTATGTTTGATGACATAAGTAAGGTTGTGTCTTGAGCAATACGTTCTTACCATCAGGTTATGGAGAGTTACCAATGGCCTTGGTAAGAGTTGTAGACACAATGTATTTACTAATTCATACATAAATAGCAGTTCTCTATAAAAAAATTCTACAAATTATATCAAATGTAGAGGATAATAAAAAGATGAGACATTTGGGATTGGGAGACAGATAAACTGGTAAAGTGCTTGTTCTACAAGCATGGGGACCTATGTTTGATTTTCAGAACCGATAAAAAAGCTGTGTGTAGTGGCACATATTTGTTATCACAGTGCTGGTGGCATGGCTACAAGCAGCCACTGCACATATAGCCTAGGCGAATAGGTGAGTTACAGATCAGTGAGAGATCTCCTGAACTAAAAAATACCAAGGTGGACAGTACCCGAGGAAGGAAACTAACCTTTTCACCTTTGACTTCAACATGTATGTGCAAACATACACCTGTGTTCCCAGCCCCAACATGAAAACACACATATGTGACAGTGAGAACATATGAAGGGTAAGACTGGGAATGAATTACATAGTGTTGGCATTTGGAATTGAGTCTAGAATATAGGAATGCATCATGATAAGAACATGGATTCAAAATAAGGAGTATTACCTGATAAACAAGAGATGCTTACAAACATTCATGCAAAGCAGGAGACTTGGAGATCATTTAACTTTATAAGGGGGTCATTTCAGCTTATGTCTTCCTTCTGCATGATGTCATCTGCTATTGAGACTTGCAATGGTATTTTTATTTCATTTCTCGAGTTCTCTGTGGCATCTGCTTGGTTCTTTTTATGATCTGTATTTCTTCCTTGAGTTTCTCCTTCAAGTGATAGTCTTTTGTTTTAATTCAGTCTGCACTCTTCTGCATCTTGTCAAATTTCCTTAAAATTGTTGTTTTAAATTTTTTGTTTAAGGCAATGAATTGATTTCTTTTGTCACACTTATAGAAAGATATTCTTTATTATGTAAGTTGTGTCTTTATTCTTATTCTTGAGTGTGTGGTTGACCACTTGGCTCTACTGATTTTGCAGGATAGTTTTGTTTTGTTTTATTTTTTGCAAGGGACTTGCTTCTGGAGATGTGCCCCAGGGTGTCAATATGGTAGTTACATTGGTTTTAGTTTCAGCATTGTAGTCTCCATGAAGCTTCTTCACTTACAATATCAACATTGATGACACCTATGTGTGTGTGTGTGTGTGTGTGTTTCAGTGGTCTAGCCCACAAGTGTTGTGGGCTTTTTCAGATAGGTCTCCTTAAGAAGTTAGTCTCTCTATAGCTGTGAGGACAACACATGCTGTTGTGTCTGAGGGTAGGTAGGTCATATTTTAATTTCTGTTGTTCACACCAGGTAGGGATGATCTGATGGGCCCAGGAAAACAAGGCATGACTGGCACAGCACTGGAAAGGAAGTGCTAGCCAGTTTCTGAGGGCCTTAAGGGACAAGGCTGCTGAAGGATCACAAAGGTATAGTATTGTGTGCTTAGTAGTGAAAAAGGGAATATATCAGTGTCTGGGGGCTGTGTAGGCCAGGCTCCACTAGAGGTATTTTGTTTTGTTTTGTTTTTTTTTGTTTGGTTGGTTTTTTTGAGACAGAGATTCTCTGTGTAGTCCTTGATGTTCTGCGGCTCTCTTTGTAGACCAGGTTCTCCTGGAACTCATGTAGCTCCAACTGCCTCTGCCTCTTGAATGCTGGGGCTAGAAGTTTGCAATACAGTGTTCAGTCTCTGGAAGTTCTGATCAGACAGGACACAGCATGTGTCATGGCAGAAATGTGGCACCCTTCAGTGTCTACTCCATTCCGGCACTGCTCCAGGGACAGAGACGACTGGGGTGACAAGGGAATGAAGGAATGACAAACACATACAGAGACACTGACACACAGAAACAGCTGGGATTGAGTGGACTGGGGTCTCTGATGGAGAAACTGAAGCTCTCCTTCTCAAGCTCACTGTGTTTATTTACACAGTTGAATAGAGAGGCCCAGTTTTTCACACAGCTGATCAAGGGGGCAGTTTTAGTTAATCATGGTAGTCAAGGCTTCTGCAGGGGAGCATTCTTCAGGCTCTCCATGGGGAGAAAGCTATGGTGGCCACTTTCTGCACACACTATCAATATCTGCACAGGGACAGAGGAAGAATTTGCTATCCCCCTGTGACTCACCCCAGGGAAGTGAAGCTTTGCTATTTTCCTACAGGTTTGAGGCTAGGGTCCTTGACACGGCCATGCCCATGTCAATAGCACATATTACTCAATGCTTTTTACTCAGGGCCTTTTCCACTCCCCACAGTTGTCTGAGGACCATGCAGGGGCTAACTTATAATAGGCTCAGATAGGAGACCAGTTAATGTGAACTGGCTGTACATGGGGACTTTACTTACTGAATTGATCAGGGTGGGGTGTCCAATTACTCCTAGGGCTTTTGGTAGGAGGGAAGGGCAGCTAAGCTGTTTCCTATGGCCTTGGTAGGACAGGCTGCTTTGTGGAAATTTAGGAAGTTGATTGGTGTTGATTGGCCAAACCATGGGATTCTGGGACACAGGGTGGAGCTCAAGATGATGTCATGCAGGAGAAGGTTGAGTGGTGCCTCAACTGAGTTAATGCTGCAGTGTAAGATTACCTGATAGTGCTCCAAACTGGGCTCTGGCTTCTCTAAGAGGAAGTACTTTGGATGCTTGTGTATTGAACAGGAACGGATGGACACCTCTGACATATGCTTTCATTATGATGCAAAGCTTAGGTTTGATCTCATGTGAGGGGATATTGTGTCCTCCTTGTCCCCAATGACACTTCAGGTCTCTGGGCTCTGTGTAATGTTTGTTACTACCTTCAAATACTATTCCAGTGAAATAATGCTTGATTTTCCTTGGTTTTGGCCCTTGCTATTGAAGGAAACATGGCAGATACATATAGTCAGCTGTTTTGCTGGTGACTTTCCACTGAACACATATTGTGTGCCAGGCAGGTTTGTAAGCAGTGTACATATAGGGAGAAAAACAGACACCAACCTTTACTTAAAAGACCTCAATCTAGTTGACCAGATGTTCAATAAGTATGGTTAGTTGTACCCTTGCCCAAATGTCAGTGAGAAATTGATAAGTGAGGCAAAGTGATATTGTAAAAAGGAAATCAATTGTTGAGAGTTCATGGTGGTATTGGTCACCTTCCCTATTGGACTACAAGACTGACTCCCCCAAAACTGTTGACATGCTCCCAAACATTCTCTCCTCTGCCTTTCCTAATGACAAAGCATTCATTTCTCAACCCACAGGGCCAAAGGTCCTTTCTGTCTCTCCTAAATCCTGTGCTCTGTGAAAAACTAGAGCAAAGGAGAATGTAACAATGTACACTCCCACCTCAATGAACTTTCTCCCAGTTTCTTGCCTACATTTTTGTGTCTACATTGTGCTATCTCTCTTTGACCTTGGACTCTTGGACTGTGACCTTTTCCCTCTTTTGCCCAAGAACCTATGTTTTTTAATCTCTAAAATGTAATAGATTGGAAAGAGTTTTGGAGTTTGAATCTGTCAGTTACAGTTATGTGTCTTTTTTCTTTAAAATTATTTGAGTTCTTTGAGAACTTTATATACTGTATTTTGATTAATTCATACCCTTTCCCAATTTCTCCCAGATCTGTGCCCCACTAGCATACATACTCCACCCTGTGTTTTCTTCTGGTACCCTAAACCTGTCAAGTCCAATTTGTCAAGTCCAATTTGTGCTGGCCATATAGTCCTGGGATGTGGCCATTCCCTGGAACATGGTCAACCTACTAGGGGTTGACTCTTTTCCCTATGTCTTTGCCAGTATTTGTTTTCTTGATCTTAGCCATTTTACCTGGTGTGTGTCTCAAAAATAACATTTCCCTAGTTGCTAGGAATGTTGAACCCTCTTAGAAGATATTTTCTAGAAGTTTTATTTCTTCTTTTGAGAAATCTCTGTTCTGATCCATAGCCTAATTTTAAATATTTTTTGTGGTTACAATTACATAATTTTTCTATTTTCTGTCCTTTCTCCTTTTCACAAATCCCCTTGCTGTCTTTCAAATTCATCTAATCTTTTTCTTTAATTGTTGTTACCCAACCAGGCCTGGGCCAAGGCAATTCTAACTGCAGGTCTCCAAATGGACTCCAGAGAAACCCCACACCCCACACCATGCAGCCCAACCCACCTATGTGGCTGGACAGTTGAGCACCATAATGATCTCTTTGTAATGAGAGATCATGGCCCAACACACCATCAGGGCGACAAGAGTGGGACAAGGAGACCTACACGAAGGCCTGAGGCTGTCCACTTTTGGCTCCAAGAAGAAAACAGTGGGCCACCTGGTACCTTGCAGCATCAGCCAGAAGGACAGTATTATTGTGAGCAGAGGTATAGTATGGTGGTTTGTGGGAGAGAGAGAGAGAGAGAGAGAGAGAGAGAGAGAGAGAGAGAATGGTTCTGGTCTTGTGGACAGAGGCACATCTGAAGGGACAAGAGAGGAAGGGAGTGGGCTGAGAAGGTGAGAGAGCTGACCCTTGACCAGCAGCAGCCTATGGGAAATCTTGCCCTGTACTCTGTCTGGGCCGCACAGTAGAGATCACCCTGTTGATGAGAGCACAGGTGAGTCAACTCTGAGAATGTGATATTGGAAGGCCTAGCCCTAACATTCATCATCCACATGGGCTGGGGAGAGATGCCCTCCTTCCGCTCCTGCCCATCAATGTCGAAGGCAGGTGGGAAGAGTCAACCCTGAGGTAACAAGTGTGGGGGAGCTGTCCCTGCCCCCTACAAGCTTCAACACTCAGGAGAGCAGACCTAGCACAGAACCAGGGCAGCACAATAGAGCCATCTTTGTTAACCGAGGAGTGGGGAGCCAGTCCTCAAGTTGGGAGCATGTGAGAGATGTCCTCATTTCTCATCTGTCTTGTGGTGGCATGGGTGGGGGAATGAGAACCCCCCCCACCAATGCCTGAGGCAAGTTCAGGAGAGCAGGCCCTGTCATAAGAATGGGAAAACTGTCCTAGCCTCCAACCCAGGTGCAACTCTCGGGAGAGCAGACCCTATACCTTGCCAGAGAAGCACAATAGAGCCAATCCTATTAGGGCAGGTGCCAATGACCCAGTCCCGAAATTGTGAGCATGGGAAAACTCTCCCCATTGCCCATCTGTCTTGTGGTAACAGAGGCATGGGAGAGTTGCCCTCCTCCTCAATGCCCAGCAATGCCTGGGCAGGTGGGAGAGCTGGCCCTATGGTCATAAGAGCAGAAGCACTATCCCTGACCCCCACCAGCTGCAACACTCAGGAGAGCAGGCCCTGCCTCTCACAGAGGCAGCACAATAGAGCCAGCCCTGCTGGTGCAGGTATGGATGAGCCAGTCCCAAAGTTGTTAGCATGGGAGAGCTGTCCCCATTTCCCATCTGGCAGACTCACCCAACAGCTGCTCAGGCCCAGACCCAAGGTTATGACTTGGCTCCTAACATCCACCTCATCTATGATCCACTGGAGCACGTGAAGGGACCTGACCTGCAGACTGAAAGCTGCAGGATCTCCACAATACAAGGCAGCAACAGAATATTCAGGAGGAGCCCTAGTAGGGTAGTAGAAACCAGAGGCTTTAGGCCAGACCAATGACTTTGCAATGAACACTTACAAGTAAAGATATATGGACAAAGGAGTTTACAGCATGACTCACTGTGTCAACTTCAGCTTCCATGATGAGATTTTAAGCTCTTTCTTTTTTTCCTGTATTTTTTATTTCATTTTACGTTCCAACCACAGTTCTTCCTCCCACCCCTTCTCCAACCCTCCATATCTCCTCTCCCCACCTCCTCCCACTCCCTCACCTCCCCCCAGTTCACCCCCAGTTCACTCCTCCTCATGGGTGAGGGCTCCTATGAGGAGCCAATATAGTCTGGCTCATAAGGTTGGGGCAGGCCCTGTCCCTCTCCCATGCATTAGGACTGAGCATGGCATCCCATTAATGGGGAATGGGCTCCAACAAGCTAGCTCATGTACCAGGTTTGTATCGTGGTCCAACTGCCAGGGACCTCTCTGATAGTCTAAGCTTCACAACTGTCTCCCACATATGGAGGGCCTACCTAGTTCACCCCTTGAGTCTCCACAGTTGTAGGGCTAGAGTTCATGAGTTTCCATGAGATTGGTTCAGCTGTCTCTATAGATTTCTCCAACATGATCTTGATCCCCCCAGTCATAAGTTCTCTTCTCCCTCTCTTCACCTGGATTCCTGGAGCTCTGCCTAGTTCTTGGTTGTGGATCTCTGTATCTGGTTCCATCAATTACTGGAGGAGGGCTCTATGTTGATAGTTGGGGTATTCATTCATCTGATTACAGAGAAAGGTCAGTTCAGGCATCCTCTCTACTGTTGCTAGGAGTCTTAGTTGGGGTCCTTATTCTTGGGAGTTACCCTAGCACCAGGTTTCTCCCTAAGCCCACAGTGGCTCTCTCTGTTAACATATCTTTTTCATTGCTCTTCCATTGCATCCCTCCCCACCTATGCCATCTTGTTCCCTCCTGTCCTCATCCCCGTTCCCCTCCCCTTTACCACTCCCTACACCCAGTTTGCCCTGTAGATATCATCTAATTTCTCTTCCCAGGGTGATCCATGTGTTCCTCTTAGGGTCCTCCTTGTTACCTAGCTTCTCTGTAGCTGTGGACTTTAGTCTGGTTATCCTTTGCTTTACTTCTAATATCTACTTATGAGTGAATACATACCATATTTGTTGTTCTGAGTCTGTTACCTCACTCAGGATGGTTTTTCCTAGTTCCATCCATTTGCCTAAAAATTTCATGAGGGCATCCTTTTTTACTGCTGAATAGTACTCAATTGTGTAAATGTACCACATTTTCCTTATCTATTATTTGATTGAGGGGCATCTAGGTTGTTTACAGGTCCTGGCTATTATGAATAATAATATTGCTGCCATAAACATTGTTGAGCATATGTCTTTGTGGTATGATTGAGCATCCTTTGGGTAAATGCCCAAGAGTAGTATCGCTGGGTCTTGAGGTAGATTGATTCCCAATTTTGTTAGAATCTGCCATACTGATTTCCAAAATGGCTGTACAAGTTTGCACTCCCAATAGCAGTGGAGGAGTGTTCCCGACTCTATGTCCTCTCCAACATAAGCTGTCCTCAGTATTTTTGATCTTAGCCATTCTGACAGGTGTAAGATGGTATCCCAGAGTCAATTTGATTTGTATTTCCCTGATAACTAACAATGTTGAGTAGTACTTCCTTAAATGTCTTTTGGCCATTTGAGATTCCTCTTGTGAGAATTCTGTTTAGCTCTTACCCCATTTTTCTTTATTTTTTAACTTTGAACTTTATTTTTTAAATAATTTTTTATTCAAATTAAAACAATCTTATTTTACATACTAATCCAGTTCCTTCTCCCTCCCATCCTCCCATGGCCCCCATCAGCCCCCCCATCCCATCCCCCATCCACTCCCCATGGAGGGTGAGACCTCCCATGAGAGATCATTAAAGTCTGACACATCATTTAAAGCAGGACCTAGGCACTCCCCATGTATCTAGGCTGAGAACATATTCCTCCATAGGGAATGGGCCCCCAAAGCCCATTTGTGCCGGAGGGATAAATACTGGTTCCACTGCCAGAGGCCCCAGGCCTTCCAACTAACACCCACTATCAGGGTGCCTGGTTCAGTCCTATGCTGGTTCTCCAGCTGTCAGACTGGGGCCTGTGAACTTCCACTTGCT